CATCCATTGCACCAGCATCGTGAGCCATTATTCACTTAGCCGATTGCATGCGACCAATCAGCGGCCTTTTTTCATGCCAACACCTGCATTGTTGGCGCGCGCACGTGTCTACTCTGGCGTGTGTCGGGGTCGGATGGGCAGCCTGCATACGTGTGGCTGTGTGTGCGTGTCGGGGAAGGGGGGGGGGGGCACTAGGCCTAGCAGTCCGGGCGTGGAACGTCGCAGATTACAAATTCGTCAGTCTTTTTCCCCCCTCGGCAACTGATCATTATTACAATGAAGCTAATCATGACGTGGATCTACGTAATGAATTGTGCTCTGGTCTATGGAATCAAAAGTTGCCGTATGCTAGGCTCTACACAGCAGCACAACGCTTTGGTAAACAATCAAGATGACACAGGCGTGTGCATCTGAACGAATCGGTCTTTTTTTTTTTGCACAGCTCATAATATTATTTAAAATGCAGGCATTTGAAGCAATGCTTGTGACTTCTCTTTATATATTACTGGCTCAGTGCCTTTAATTATCAACACAAAACCTCCTGTTTGCTATAACGAACACTCGGATTCAACGAGATTTTAAGTCAGGCCCGGCGACCTCGTTGAATCCGAGTTCCACTGTATTTGAACGAATTGGTCTTTTTATTTTTACACAGCTCATAATATGCAGGTGCCAGGTGGTGGGCTAATCTTCAATTTTACCTTTTTCTACAACAAAGAAAGTGGGAAACCTGGGGGGCGGGGGGGGGGGGGCGTATCAATGAGGCAGCGGGCATTGGATCGGCAGATTATAAGGTGTGGGGGGAAACTAAAAAATGGCGGAAAATTGGAAGCACTGAACGTTAGATCTATAGAACGAAGACACTTCCTTTTTTCAGGACCTGAGTCCGAATAACATTTGTTCATATTCGGACTCGAGTCCGGATATGAAATTTTTTTATTCGGGCTCATGTGAGTCCGAATATGAAAAAATGTTATTCAGACTCGAGTCCGAATAAAGACGGCCGATCATTAATCATGCATACCGTTGAGCCGAATCTTTCAATTTGCAGTGACTAACGTGAACGTAGTTTGCAGGCTATGATTACGGTATCCAGAATGTAGTTTGCAATTTAAGAATGATCTTGCGCACTTCACCCCTTTATCCTTTTATTTTTACCTTTTGCTTCTTTTTTTCCCCTCCTCCCGCCCGTCTTCCCGCCTTAGCCTTCTGTAGCAATACCACATGCCCCGTGCGGCAGTGCGTTAACGCAGTAGACTCACCCAAGCCAAGGGTAACTCCGGGAACTCTCTTATTTATAGCTTTGTTCTTTGCATCAGCCCCATGTATCATACATGAATACACGCGGGGGAAATTGACTCTGAGTCATTCACTGAAGAAATATTATCGAAGAAAGAGGGTTGGTCAGTAGCGAGACCAAAACCCGCCGAATGGTTCTGTGATTTTCCGAATCTCCGTATTTGGAAGGTGCGGAATCCATTTAAATATTAACCAAACGTCCCCAAACTCGGCAACCAATGAAAAGAAAGATAGATCTAGCCTCTGCCGATTTCCGTGTCTTAATCGACCTAAAAACAAGAAAGTTACAAAGTGGCTTATTTGAAGAGATTGTTTTTAAATGTCGATGAATCCGCGGAATGCTCCAGCATCATCTCAGACAAGCTGAACTTAATAAAACTAGAAACTATTTAGTGAAATTTAGCAATGCCAATGAAAATTTAATTTTTCTCTTTATCCTTTTCTTATTTGGTTCCCAAGAAAGAATTTTCAATTCTAAGAATTATGCTTTTTAAATTTTAAGAATCAGTTCATAAATAAAAAAGTTATGGGGTTGTAAAGGTCCGCAAAATATGGATGACCCATTTATATATATATAGGAAAATACTCCTAAAAGTGGACCACGCAGTAGCAGATTCTGTAAGAAAATTGACGATATCTCAGTAATTATTTGGAGTGTTAGAGAGAAACTTGACTACCCAATGTGTTTTTGGGTGGAGAAATAATTTCTGCTGTCAGATTTACTAACCATTTCGTAGTTATTTTAATTTAAAGTTTGGTGTACATATTTTGATTTTGCGAAAGAGGGGTGTCAGGATGAGAGCATTTTATTTATAGCATCGTATCACAACATGGGATATTTAAGAATATGTTGGAAGCGTGATTAAATAATGACAAAGCTTTCTTTGATGACTTTGAACCATGCCAACCATAAAATATAATTTAATTCAATCTAGCATGCCTTTCAAATTAAAAATTGGCCTGTCTCCAAGCGAAGCCGCTTTGGACAGGGGGGGTAGTGGTACATTTATGATAAATTCTAAGCAACTACTGGACACAGAAGGGTCAAATTTGAGCTCACTATAGAGGAAAGATAGACTCTTACCATCTTGGCATCGAATATCAAGCTCCTTATAGTTTTTGGTGTACCCGATATGAAAGTGTTTCCGACGCCAAAAGTACAGGTTAATTTATGTGTACAAACTTCGACTTCCACAAATCATTAGTCTGCCATATTTTCTTATTGGTTGCCAAGTTTCATTCACATTGGTCCAGAAGTAGCGCAGAACGAGCTTGAGAAAGTTAGTCACTAACGTTCCAACTTGGTTAAAAAAATTCACTCGCAAACAGGTACCAAATTTTGGCTGCGTTCGTAAGCACTGCATTGCTATGAAGTAATCCATAAAACAATCGCTTTTTGAAAAAAATAACGTCGACGTCGTTCCTGTTTTTCGCATGGCCTGAAAGCCAGAAAGGCTGCACACTTGAAACGCTTGCAGCGAGACGTGTAAGCTTGCCGCCATCTCGCTGTGACGTCTCGGCTGTGTTAAAGGGTAGCCGCTGATTGGACAGTTATTTTGATCAGCCTGAATGCCGCGGAATACACCGTACTCATAGACATGGGCGTAATGAAGGTTTTCTTTCTATTTGCCATCACAAATATTTGGGCTTAATTTCGGGTTAACGCGAATTTAGTGCTGATATGGACTTCAAGATAACGGCATAAATCATTAGATTCTTCCAGTATTTACAATGTGTTTGGCAGAAGCAGAATGAAGATTACCATTACTCAGGTATATTTCCGTGGGTTTGTGCATAATATGTGTAGGACTACTTACTCATAATAATGATAAAAGCAGAAGAACAATGCATGTTATTATTACAGAATATATACACAACAAATTGGAATAAATGCAATATTGTACAGTTCTGAGGCATATTTTCATGGTATGGAAGGGAACATATCTTCGCTACACTAAAATAACTATGTAATTGGTTAGTTATGCGCATAATCAATTTGAGTTATTTGCATAAAAGTTTGTAATGAATTATAAGTTTTTAAAACAGAAACTGAGCTTGATATTTTTTACTAACCTTTTAGTTTCCCCATTCTGAGCTGTTTGGTTACACTTTGGTTGATTAATTATGCGCATATATATTCAAATGAGTGCATAATCAGACATTTAAAACCTTATATTGTAAAATGTCACATTTTCTTATTCGTCTCTTTGCAAACACAGATTTGTATACTATACATACACATGTAACAGAATGGACTAACATGTCTATTATTAAGACTTATATTGGCTTATTTTTTAAATTATGCATGTTTAATTATTTATTTGCATATAATTACCACGATATCAAGATTACAACTTTAATTTTTCCATTTTCTATTTTGTTGTCCCAAAGAACATAAACTCACAAATTTTCAGCTCATTCCATTCTTAGTGTGAAAGTATTCTGGTGCCGGTTGCCCTTCTTTATTCCTTCATAGGAATCTCCTCCAAAATACCCAAAATTTCTGACACGTGCACAGCCATAACTTTTTGAAATTTATGGACCGATTTTGAAAAAGTATAAAGAAGCATTTTACTTCTGGATTATTGATCTTTGTACCTGTGTTGTTTATAGGTTAGCAGTACCCATCTTTAAAAAAGCTATGGTATTGCTAAGCCTTCTTCCATTCTCCATTGTTTCTTCGAACGACCTTTATAAATTTCAAATTGTCGAGCGTTGCGAGGTCCACCAGGCCTTGTTGACCGCGGCTGTTTTTTGCTATGCCCGCCATCGCCCTTTGTAAACTCTGTTGCATTCAGTCCACTGCTGTATTATTTTTTTCGCGAGTACTCCTGTGCTGTTTTCTCATTCACTTTGGCTGACCGTGCGTTTCAATCATGCCTCTGTGCCAATGGTGGGGGATTCACGGCGCTGTGAACGTAGTCACTACACTTTCAATTTGTCTCAACTTTACTTCTTTACGACTAAACTCTACTATTAATCGATATCTAGATTCTATGCCTAATTAAGTTGTAACAGTTTCCACAAAAAATGTTAAACCTATTTTAATTGTTTCCATGTCGTGCATTGTCATTTTTCCAGTTGAGTTTGGAAACGCTTTATTCAGTTGGGTTTTAACGTAAAATTTGACCCACAGATAGGCTACTCAAATTTCTCTGGTTACAATTATTTTAGTAATTCTTCTTTCAATTCTCTTACTGTCATTGTCTACCAAAAACTTAACCAGGTACTCCTCAGGCACTTTATTTTCAGTCTTCTATAATCTCTACCCCGAGTGACTATTTTGTTTGTATGGAACAACAGTGGCATTTCAGGAAGAAGCACCATTGAACAAAACAAACAAGACACAACTTTATAAGATTGACTGCAATCACAAAAATAAAGCATTGAAAGATGTGATGGTGAATTTTTAGAAAATGACAGTAAGAGAAAAGAATTTAGAAAATGACAGTAAGAGAAAAGAATTTAGAAAACAATTGTTGTTTTAATTGAGGAAATCTGGGAGTTTAATCTTTACCAGACTTTCCTTTACCTGAATCCCCCAAGTTTGAAAAACCTTTCCAAACTGGATGATTTCCTGAGTTGCTACACCAAAACTCTGTAAAAGTAAAGCTCAGTTTCCTAGACGGAAAACTTTTGATTTTTTAAATTTGCCATAAAAGAAATCCAAGCAATAATGAACATGTTATTTTTTATTGCAGAAAAGGAGAAAGAAAAGATTCTTCCTTTTCTTATACCTCCCTCTGAATTTGAAAAACCAGTAATAGCCAGTCGTTCAGAACTCGACAAAGCTAAGAAAGAAATACAGGAACTGAGGGAACAAAATGACCAATTGAAGTAAGTTGTGTACGAGATCCCGATTCTACGGTATGTGTAGTGAGTTATGAAGATGTTATGCTTTTATGCTCTCTTTATGAATGAAAGAGCTTTAGTTTATAAATGATTTCATATCTGTTTTAAAAATTGAAACAGAAAGCTTTTTCTCTGGGTATTGCTACGTAGCAAATGTACGGGAACTTTTTTGTTTGCAGTACTTTTGATATCAATTCTTCTTATGAAATTTCTGACTCCCTTGATCCTCTATTTAAAAGAACACAATGTAAGTATGTTCCTGTTGAAACCCAGAGGGTAGGTGATTGGCGGGTGCTGTGGTGTGGATTGCTGCTTCTTCTTTCCTATGAAACATCTATCGTTCTTATCTCCCCTTTTTCTTTTTTAATGTTTGTTACTCTCTTGTAACACCTCTAATTTTCTGGCGCTCATATGACCTTATGCAGTTGCGAGCGCAGTAAAACCTGTACTAGAACTAAAAAACTGAAACTCAGAGGGTTTTATATTTTTTTCTCAAAGGCAATAAGTTGCCCATCAAAATTGTAGCATTAATTTTTTATGAGTTTCACAAGCACTGAGTACCTGGTTTGGAAAATATTAAGTGCATTACTGAATGACTGAAAAATTGTAGATAAATATTATTAACTAGCTGTTTAGAACAAAAAAAGATGAATATGAACATGAGTTCTACTTTATTGATCTCTTTGGGGAATTTGTTCTACTATGGTGTACATAAACTCACAAATACATCATGATCAATATACGTAAATAATTTAGAAATGCACAAATAATGCACCAAAAACATAGGCAATGTACACATTGCTGGTTGCTACAGTGGAACACGGATTCAACGAGCTCGGATTCAACGAGAACTCGGATTCAACGAGATGAGATAGATTCTCCGTTTTTTTTTCTTCTTTAAAATCAATAAAAATAACCCGGATTCAACGAGCACTTAAATCAGTGAGCTCATTTCCAGGGTGAACAGTCCCCGCAGACCTGGCTTCGCTCATTTTTCTTCCAGAACGAACTTTGTCTATTCCCGGAAACCATCCATTGCACCTGCATCGAGAACCATTATTAACTTTGCCGAATGCATGCGACCAATCAACAGCCTTTTTAAATACCAACACAGTTGTTGTTGGCACGCACACATGTCTACTCTGGCGTGTGTCAGGGTCGGATGGGCAGCCTGCACACGTGTGGCTGTGTGTGTGTGTCGGGGAGGGGGGAGGGGCACTAGCGGTCCGGCATTGAACGTCGCAGATACAAACGCGTCACATTCTTTTTTTCCCCTCGGCAACTGATCATTATTACAGTAATAAGCTAGTCTTGACGTAGATCTACCTAATGAATTGTCTGCTGGTCTATGGAATCAAAAGTTGCTGTATGCTAGGCTCTACAGAGCAACACAACGTTTTGGTAAACAATCGAAATGACACTGGCGTGTGTATTTGAATGAATCGATTTTTTTTTTTTACACAGCTCATAATATGCAGGCATTTCAGACACTACTTATGATTTCCCTTTATACATTACTTGCTCAGTGCCTGTAATTATCTACACAAAACCTCGTGTTTGCTATAACGAACACTCGGATTCTACGAGACTTTTGGTCAGACACGGCGACCTCGTTTGAATCCGAGTTCCACTGTATTGTGCAGTGCCCTGTTTTAAGCTAGGATTATCGTGTGTTGCTCAAGACACACCCCAAGTGACCACCCACCAAAATGCCATGTCACCCACACACACTTGAATTTATGAGCCTGAGCTCACTCGCCAGCTTCGAAGATATTAAAGAGCGGATGCTCACGTTTTATAAAACTTACCTCAATTCCGAAGTAGTTTAAGGATACACAGTGATCGAAACCTATATCTTTATTAATTCTTAAGGTCAAAATTATGAAAACCCGGCTCTATTATAATCTTGGGAATAATGAACAGTACCTTTGTTTAAAATTTGTGGTCTGGAGAATCTCTGGTTTCTTCTATTAATGAAGCATAGGTCAACACCACCAAAAGTTTTGGTCTCTGCCTTTCTATTAATTCCTCTAAAATGTATTGCATTAAGTCAGGTAGACGTTGGGGATTTCCTTCTGCTTTCACAGGTCTAGTTGTGAACTTATACTGGACTCAATTTTCAAAAGTGGAATAGGAAACCAGTTGCTCCATTCTGGAGTGTTTATAATGATACATAGCTATCAAAATATATGATTTTATAAATTCTTAAGTTCAAGATCATGAAAATATGTCTGCATCATGCTCTTAGGAATATTGAATTCTACCTTTGTGTAAATTTTAAAGTCTGAAAAGTGTGTGGTTACTTTTAAACTTATATAAAAAAAAAAGTAATACAAAGATTGGACTAGAACTGTATAATATATAATACAAAGATTGGGCCTCTAGAACTAAATAATATAGATAGCTATACATTTTATGACTTATTTTTTTATTTGTAAGATATTTTCTGCATGTGAGTTACTTGTGTTAATTAACAATTTCCCTTTCTTTTTCAGGGTCCAATACGGCCTGGTACATCAACAGGTATAAGATTTGACACTGTAAAAGAACTTCTTAATAAGGCATACTGCTAATAGGTCTGCTTTACGATTCTTTCTGCAAAGTTATATCATGATACAAACGTACTTTTGCTAGGGAAAACGTTGACATCAATGTGGATACTTTACTTAATAGCTATATTTCACAAACTTAATATTGTGATGGTTTCAGTAATATATCTTCAAAACATTCAGGTCTGCTTTTTATTTGTCATAATGTTTTGGGAGAAGATTATAAAAAAAAAAATTAAAATAGTGGTAACATTAAGTTCAGCTTTCTGGAACATGTAGCTACAGCATTAGTTGTATGACTTGGAATTATAATAATATAATGCACAGGAAAATGTTACATGTTTCTTCATCACAATAACAAAAACCATGATGAACATCTTTTATAATCAATTGGTTAAGCTAATAGATAAAAGGGGAAACAAAGAAAGAGAATAAAAATTATTATGATACTGGAAGATCTAAACAATAACAGACGCGATTCAAAAATGGTTAGTTGGATATTTTTTTGATGAATCGAGATGTACTATTCTGTGTGAATGTGGATCTTATTTAGACTGACTTGATTTGAGATATGTGCAACTGGCTGATATTGACCAAACTCTGTATTTTTTTTTTTCTTCGTCAGGCTGCTGCCACATCTTTTGCATCATCTCACAATGAATATGCGGATGAGCTAATCAAGAGGCAGGCTGGTGAAATAGCTGATTTACGCAGAGAGCTCTCTCGATGTAGAGAGATTTATGAGCAGGAAGCAGCCGAGTGGGACAGAAAGTTTGCTGCAGTAGAAGCAGAGCATTTGGATGAAGTGAAAAGAAGAGAAAAAGAGAACAGGTTGAGAGAGGATGAATTTGAGCAGAGGGTAAGCCCAAGTGTTGTGTGTCTTTTGAACTATCTAAGATAGAATGGACAATCTTTGAGATTAAGGTCAGGAGGAAGATTTTGTTGGCTTTTCCAAGGTGATTGATACTTGGGAGTAGTTGGTTGAACAATATGTAAGTTCAGTATAGAGAACTGAATTGTAATTGATGTTTTGTAAAGATAGATTTGTTATCAATGCTGTCAGGTTTCGAAGAGAACTGAATTGTAATTGATGTTTTGTGAAGATAGATTTGTTATCAATGCTGTCAGGTTTCGAAGAGAACTGAATTGTAATTGATGTTTTGTAAAGATAGATTTGTTATCAATGCTGTCAGGTTTCGAAGAGAACTGAATTGTAATTGATGTTTTGTAAAGATAGATTTGTTATCAATGCTGTCAGGTTTCGAAGTGGGGGACTTTGATTCCAATTTTGGGTGTAATATATTTATTTGACCTACAGTTCTTTGTTGTCATATCCTCAAGTAGATCTACCTATAAGCCCAAACAATACACACAATGGCTCATAGATCTGTACTTCTGGCTTTTCAAGAGTTTGCAGTTTTGGGGAAGGATGCTATCTTTGTTTATGTTGACTTTGAAGATACCAGGAGTTGTAAAAAAAATGTTAAAGATGATATTATTGCAACGCATTACTTCTGATTTATCAGTCCAGCTCTCAGATGTTTTATGCAGGTAGCGTAAACACGGCACGAAAGCCAACTCGCTGCCTTCTGAACTCGTGGTTTCAGTGAAATTGGGGTAATTCACATTGCTGTTTCTTTGCTCTTTTGCTATAAAGCACCATATGCTGTACACTTTGAAAAATTCCAGCAACAATGGTGTAAGTTGTTTGTATATCCGAGTATTTGGAGCTGGAGAATCGCTGTCGAAAGGGAAGCCCCTTGCGGTCGGCCTGTAAAAAAATTGAGACCCATGCATTCAAATGCTTTGTGGAAAGATTGATGATTAAATACCATCTTTTCATTGGCAGAGAACTAAAGAGTTTTGAAGTTTCCCGTTGTATATTTCTGGCCTTTGAAGTTTAAGAAGAAAACTTTTTAAAATAGCATCAAAATTTTCAAAGATAATTTTTATCTCGAAATATTAAACTGCGGGCTGAAAAGTGGTACCAGTAGAAAGTTCAGCTCATTTTCCATTAAAATAAAGTCATCGCCTTTGAATTATTATGCATCAATTCTTCTGCGAAACTCTGAAAGCATGTGACCCCCCCCCCCCCCCCACACACACACACACACGGGGAGCACTCAGTATACTACAGTATAGAGCCGGCTCGGTCACAGTGGCGGCCGCCGTAACGCCGGCCGGGACAGTGCTTGGTGTTTTTGTCGAAAATTGATTTGCATTGATCTCACAGTCTTGAAAAAAAATCAGGCTCCATATCTATGTTATAGTGATTGTACTCTGTTAATATGGAGATTTTTGTTGCAAAATTCTCAGGAGACGTATGCCTTTCATATGAAACAGATACATTTGGCATACAGCTACTTTGAAAATTTAGTTTGTGGTACCTTGTTTATGAAAAAGCTTGTCAATTAGAAACTTAAATATCAGTTCTATAATTTATCCTGTAGATAACACGTGTCAGTGCTGAACTTCAGAGGACTATGGAAACAGCTGAGGAAGAAGAGTTGGCTCTGAAGGAGAGACTGGAGTCCACCCGGTCCGTGCTTGGGTCCCGAGTCAAGGAGCTAGAGGAAGAACTTGATGGTCTGAAGAGAGACAGCCACAGCTCTATCAGGAAGCTAGAGGCAGACATAAGGTGAGAAAGAATGAAAAGAGAATGTATAGGTAAACAAATCTTTGTGCTGAAAAGAAAGTGGGATTATATTTTAGAAAAGCTGTCTTTTCGTTGTTATTTTGACGAACTGGTTTATCGCTTAAAATAACAAGTTAGGTCAGTTGATATTTGACTACTGTCTGGAGTCTGTCTTTGAATATGCAACATTTTGGATTTTCACATTGTACTCTTATGGATGATTATTGAATTAACTGATGTTAATCATGATAAAAGATAATATCAGTTGCAGTCAAGCTGGGTAATTTTCCAGATGACTAGTTCAAATCCCAAGTAGGACTTAATTGAAATCCAGTTGTTTGGGGAGTTTTCATTCGAGGGTGTCCATCCATACTTTAAAAAATATTCCTTTAAATTCTGAGGTCTTGTCTTTCGATGTATATTAGGCTTCTAAATCTGTACAATATTATCGTTTTAGTGGATAAAAAAAATTGTGAGCCTTAAAAATCTTGGTTTTGTGATCTGGACAAGGAAAGTTTCGTTATATTACTCACACATTTAACTTTTTCTCAAGGAATAAGGAACGGAGTGTAGAAGATCAGGAGCACCAGATCGCTAAGCTGAAGACATACATCGGGGAGGTTGAACAATCTCACAGACCAGTACAAGTGTGGAGAGCAGAGAAGGAGACAGTGGACAACAAACTCCGAATGGCAGAGGCAGAAAATCAGAAATTCCAATCAGAACTCGAGCTGATGGGTGTGAGATTCAAAGCTTTGGAAAATATTTTATCAGTACAGGAGACAGAACTCAGTAAGGTAAAGCTGTTTGTAGGTATATTGTAACATAAGAGCAATTATATATATATGTATATCGATGTTTAACACCTATCCTATTTATGTGTACATTCTCAAAGGAGAAAATAATTTTGAGGCAGAACAATTAAATGTTGTATGCACTGAATACAGTTATGGTTGAACTTGCTCTAATGGCCACCTTTATAAGACAATCATTTGTACAAATGCCCATTTCCCAAGTCCTCTTTTTTGTATTTTTTACATCATTGTGACACAGTATAAGTTGGCCGCCTGTCTAAGATGGCAACTTCCCCCCCATTTTTCCCCAATGATGGGTGGCCATTTGAGATAGTATCAATTGTATTTGAAGTGTTGTCCATGATATGTTCCCCTCTTTTTTTTTTACCTTTAACGGGCCTTGTCAAGAGATGTCGTATTTGATAAAAGTTACGGTTAATCTGAATATTGCCATCTTTGGTACTGTATATTCATCAGTCCCATGGTACTTGCAGAATGATCTTTCAAGCGAGTCTGTGAAGGAAGTTGATAGATAGAAAAATATATTTTCTTGCAAATGATGCTTGTTATTAAGAGTATGTAATGCCATTGGTGCTTGCATATTTCTTTTATTTTTTGACTGTTATATTTTATGTGCACTAAGTACTTGCATGTTGGAATCAAGACAAGGAAGGAAGAAAAAAACTCATTACTTTACATTATTGCTTTCTATAATTTTTATTGTCGAAATGTTTCTGTGACAGGCCAAAAGCAAACACAGTGGAAAAGACAAGCAGTATGAGGAGGTGCTAACAGGGTATGGTTTGTTTCTCACTTTTCACTTTTAAAAAATAATGTTGATTCTGAACTGAGAGGAAAAAATCTTTACATATTTTGCCTTTAAGTTCAATGGTTTATAATAAGAAAGATTTCTGTACAGGTAACAACATTCTTGTGGTCTTATTTTTAAAATAGGCAACATTTTAGAAAGTAAGAATTAACCTTCCTAGTCTTGCTAACAAATACCTGGTATTGTCAGGGAAAATTATATGGTTTCACCATAGTATATTGGGAAATGTTTGGAATAGGCAAACCAAGCAGTCAAAGGTCATAAACCTATACATTTTCAGGGAGTAGAATGTAAATATAGCAAGTTGAGCTCATTTGTGAAAGAGTTTGACAATATCTAAAAGGTGATAAAAGGAATCATATTAGTGACTAAAATTAAGACCGATTAACTTGACTGTGATGCCACAGAATGAACTTTCATCGGATTAAATGGGTTGTTGATACTACCAAGGTTAAGAATAGAGACTTTTTAGATCTTGACCTGAATTTTGTTAGCTATAATTAATTATACTTTTGAATAAAGTGGTTTGCTTTCAGAAACATTTTGCTAATGAAGTGCTTATTGTTGTCTAGAAAAAGAAAGATGCTTTGTGTTATGGTATACCTTTTGTTGATTTGTATTTTTAGAATATCAGAAGAGCATGATATACTTTTATACAGTAAAAAACTGCACTGTACTTTTGTTCATAATTTCCCCTTGTATTGAAAAGTACGATTATTAAAAAGTAATGAAGGCATTTTTTTGTTTGACCAGATGGAGAAGGAAGGTGTACTCACTTCTTGTGCAGCAAAAGTCTTCAGATATTGTGAGCCGAAATGATGTCAACAACCTCAAACAAAGGGTAAGTAATGAGGGATGAAGACTACATGTGGAAAAGGGCAGTGGTCACATATCGAGAAGAAGAAGAAGAGCTCCTAATTTACGGAACAAAAACCCGGGCAGGCACAGCTGATCAACCAAAAGTGAAGATTTGTGATCACTGAACTACCCATTGTGTAATAGATCAACCATTTTCGTGAATGTAATCACATGTGTGTTGTAAGTCTCGATTAAATCGTACAATGTTTGCTCTTTTGGGATCACATTGAGGTGTGTTTTTTTCCCCCAAACATTGCACTCACATCTGAGCTCTGAACCTTAACTTACATCGCACGCTGGGTGGGTAGGGCCTACTACAAGTTCGCTCCAGGCAGGATCACATCGAACTGTGAACTCTTCCCAGATGATTACAGCAGTTGTCTCTACTCCAGAAATTGCGAGGCAGACTGAATTCTAATTGGTGTGGTCACAACATAATGGTGCATAACGACAAAGGCAAAGGAACTCTGTCAGAGATGCAAAGCTATAAATTTTGGTAAAGGGGAGGAACAACTAGATAAGCATAGATCTTGAGACTCATGATAGGATAATACGTGAAAATGGCATGTCTCATGCCATTGTGATTGGTCATCAAGGTTGACCACGCTTTGCTCATCATATCATAAACCCATCCATGGGTTATGTCAGTTCATTATAAAGTGAAGGGAGACCATTTTACCGGTTGTGGGCCTGGACACGGTCCCCGTGGATTTTAATTGGTGCGTCGGCTAAGATCCCGTTCATCTAAGATCCCACATATTTTCCTCACTCCCAAGCACTGGGATCTAGGTTAGAGACTACTGTATTGATATCCTAGTTCAGGGATCATGATGAACATCTCATACTCTTTTGCTGTGACAATGCCTTGATTTGAAGAATTTGGATTTGATTTCTGCTTTTCTTGCAGACTCGAATAATAGCACATGATTTTTTTCAAGAAGTTTCTTGTTTATTTGTTCAGTTCCATACAGCTAAACCTGTCTTAGTGGTCACCTCTCTATAGTGGTCATTCATATTAACAGCCACTGTTGCGTGACATCCTTGCATTTTTCCTATATTTCTAACCTGTCCAAAGCAGTCCCTGTTCTATTTGGCCGCAATCAATTATTTTTGTGGCAAGTCAGCCTCAGAACTTGCTCATAGGGGTCACGTGCTACAAATTTTTTCCTCCAATCCGTCCTCAGACTGAGTGTAAATATTCAATCTTGGCAAAGAAGCATATACCTCTATATATCGTGGCTGTCATGATAAGATTGGATGAGTGATTTTGAGTAAACTTTTCAGAGAAGGAAAAAACTGATTTATTTAAAGGAGTTATCTGATTTTTGTACTGTTAAAAATAATCCACTTTTGATTGTTTATTTGAATATAAATTTTTAACCAGCATATGAAACATGCTTTGTAGAATATGTTTTGCAAAAATAAAAAGAAGCAAAATAGAAAATTTTATAGCTATCCGATCTTATCACGATGGTGACTATATATATATATATTAATATATATATATATGTGTGTGTGTGTGTGTATTACATATATATGGACTTTCATAATCAAGCATAAAGACAAAAATCAGATCCAAGCAGTGATTCATTTTAAGGTAGAATTAATTTGTTTCTTTAACCTTTATTTTCAGAGGGGGTAAACCCACCATGCCAGGGCCTCCTTTTGGTACGAAATCTAAAAGTGATATATACATCACTAGATTTGTCATTGAATCAAAACGAGTGAACCTATTTTGATAGTCCTTCATGTAATGAAAGAGGTCCCGATAAAAGAGCCCTGTTTTTGGTACAAATTTGATGTCAAAGTCATCTAAAAGGAATGTGCCCAAGCTGCTGCCAGAGGCTCTCAGGCATAGCAGTTCCGACCGTAAGCTTCTGGAAGTGGCTTGCCAGAGATAATGAATAGTCAAGCTCATGATGAGCACAATCCTCTGTATGTGGAAGTTGTACGATTTGTGGTTCATTTGTGGGTGTGTCTGCATTTATGTTCTCAGATAAAAGATCTAGAGGATCAGCTGATGTCGAGTGAGGCCAAGTCAGACATGTTACAGCATTCACTCAAGGACAAGTCTGCACAGTTACAAATTGAGCTGAATAATAAACAGGTGAAGGAATTTCTGTTGCTGGCAGATTGTTGAAAGATGACACTGTTGACGGGTTTTTTACCTCTCACTTTAAAAGTGAAGTCATACTTTGTAATGGCTCTAGGAGCAGGCACAGATCTTTTTATAGAGATGGTTTGCAAAACTCTGATCAAACGAAAAAGAATAGTATTTGGAAATGTCTTGTTGAGGTAGGGAAATTTCTTTCTTAGTCTTGGCTATTGTATGTCCCTCCAAACGATATCTTTAGATAGTTTGTTATAATGTAAATTTAGCTTCAAAGATAATTTTGCAAGTTCCTCAAAACAACTGTATCTGTATCACATTATGGTAATTTGAACAAAAGTAGATAGTGTCAGTTCAAATACTTAAAATTTTACATGGTTTGAATACTGTTTACTGCACGAATACAGTTTTAAAAATGTTTTGATGGTTAAAAAGAAGGATGTCTTGCGTTCAGCCTGTGCACCCCCTGGGGCTTTGTCACAATAATTATTCTTTATTCCTTCCAATTGATATTGAAGTTTGGTGTTTAGGTGGTTAGCGGGTGCTGTGATGTGGCTTCCTGCTTCTTTTCTATCAAACATTTGTCGTCCTTTTCTCTCCTTCCCCCTTTTCTTTGTATAATACTCTTTAGTAACACCTCTGATCTTCTGCACTTAATGACCTCTTTGTGTTGCAAATGCGCTGAAACTTTTACTAAATCTAAACTTAAGAAGTTCTGTAACTCTCTTTCCTGTTGTAGATGGAACAGACACTGGCTAGTGGGTTCCTTTTCTTAAACACCCTATATATTGTTGTTAGAAGGATGGCAGACTTGGAATTCATACTGTCAAGCAAAATCATTCTCTTTCAGGTTATTCTGGCTCCTGATTCTTCACTTTAATATTGTGTTGTCTTTGTCAACAGAGGATTCAAGATGATCTGAGTCAAGTGCAGCAAGTAGCTGAATGTTTGGATGACCAGTCTAAGGAGAGTTCGCAGCACCTTTCACAGTTTCTGCAATTTGTAAACAGGTAACTGGGCCAGTCATCAAGGAATACCAGGGATTATGGCGGAAAATCAGAATCAATAAATCACTCAGTCTGCTCAATTTTGTCAGCTTCAAGGTTTGGGTTTAGTTTAGGATATGGGTTTGGAGAGTTTGTTGGCTTCATGCCAGGTTGTAATATATCGTCGACCTTGTGATAAAACTGACTAACCCCAGCGAGGTAAATTTTACAGGAGAAGGAAAAAACTTTTATTTCAAAACAAAAGTACCTAAGGGTAAACCAATGCTTTTAAACACCTATAAAAACACTTTACCAAAACACTGTAGACCTTTTTTCTTTTTAAAAATCACTTTTAATGAAACTGCGTGGGTTAGACAGTTGTGTCGCTCAAATTTTTGCGGATAAAACCGACCAACCCTCAATTTTGTGGGTTGGCCAGTTTTATCAGGAAACCACCGCTGGCTTTGAGTGAAGCCAAGCCGCACTTTCCGGTAACGTATTTGATCTGTTGTTTCAATTGTCGAGATCTTTTGTGTTACATGTATCATCATTATCATCATCATCATCATCATCAGAAAAAGAAGAAGGAGGAGGAGGAGGAGGAGGAGGAGGAAAAGAAGAAGAAAAAGAGGGATGATGTGGAGGAGGAGGAGGATAAGGAGAAATAGGAAAAGGAGGAGGAGGGGAAAGCAGAAGACGAAGGAAGAGAAGGAGGACGATTTTATTGCTACCAACTTACTATCAGCTGCTGTCATTTCAGTGCTATGGAGTCAATTCGGGCAAAAACGGCAGTCACAAAGTTGAAAATTTACTAGAAGTAGAAGAAGCAGAACACAGCAATGGGTCTATTAATTACATTTGAAGTAAAATAACAGGAGGTTCGAAAGGTAAGGGAGAACAGCTACAGCAACAACAACAAAAGCAACCTGTGAAACAACAACAGTAGTAGCAGCAGCAGCAAGCCTTTAGAATTTATGACAATGTCTGACATGGTACTATTGGCACTTGGTGGCCATTCAAAGGCCTGGAAAAAAGTAGTACTAAGAAAGAAATGAAAGCAGAAAGCCACATAAAAGCTCCGCTACCTCAGCAATGGTTTGAGTGAAGTTGGTTACATAATAATATATAATTATTATACAAACAGACTTTGTAAGCATCAAAGAATACACCAACTTTTTTCAAGGTGCGTGGCTTGACCACAACTACGTTACTGAGTTTTCTCAACAATAGAAGACCATGTCCGTCTCACTCTGTGTCCTATTGCTATAACAAGGCAATACGACAAAACATCACCATTGTTTTGAAAGACTCTACAATAATCGAATTTGACTTGATAGCTTTCAAAGTTTCTTACTGAGACAGTTTCATAGTATTGTGGTAGCATTGTGGTGCGACAGCCTTCAACTCCTGTACATGTTTATAATGGTTGGCAGTTATCTTCAATCTGTCTTTGCAGAGAGGTCCAGCAGTAACCGTCATACATTGGGTGTTCAGCTTTCTTATTGGTCCTTGCAGCGCCTGCCTTTCATCATCAAAGTTCAGCTTGTACTGAATGTTAAAGACTGGAGTGTTCTTTGATGCCTGTAAGTCAGTGTCGGTAGGGTCTCCTGCTTTTCTCCCTGGGCAGATCGTTTTGTACTCTTCGACCTTTGCAAAATCTTTGAGAAAGCTGTGGCCCAGGTACATAACTTCATAGGGCCTGGGGATGCATCTGGCTTGGAGTTGGAGCATGATGTTCACGTATTCCATCGGGATGTACATCAGTGCGTTTTGGAGCGATCGCTCAATAGTGCCATGGACTGAATCCACCTCCATTTGGGTATGGCCCTTGGTGAGAATTTCTGCTCCACTGTGATGTCAAGCTCTTTGGCCAGCGAAGCCATTGCACTCACCAGGGTGGCATTTCTGTGTTGGTAGTAGCACCAATCACTGCAGATGATGAAGTGGTTGAAGTCGGTCACTTGCGATCTGAGGTAGTGAGTCAAACATGATGAAAACTGTAGGAGCTCAGACCACCTTCACTTTCATCCCAGACATATCATCTGGCGTCTCTAGTGGCAAGATCCTAAATCGTAAAATTATGTACAGCCAGTTTTGTTTTATAATATAAGGCGGGTGTCAGTGATGGTGCCAGGAGGACGCACTGGATCTCCATATAAAGGACACACACATTTTTCTCTGGGTTCAATGCAGCCTCCTTGTCCTTCCTATTGATGAGCTATATATTCTGTTTCTGTGAGGTTTCCAGACTGACTCGAAACTGGTGCAAATGTCGCACTGGTCTTTCTTGGTTGAAAGTAAACCCAAATTGGTTTTTTTTAACTTTTGGCAGAACACTTGAAAGCTCAATGTTTTTTTTCTTTCTCTCTGCACATTTCTCTATGTATACTCCATGAAGATCTGGTGTTTCCTGGATTGTCATCTGCAGACAGGGGGATATCTTCGAAAGTTTGTCAAAAATTACTCTTTTTGGAACAACTTGTCATCCTTGGCTTTCTCGTGGTGGGCATGATGTGTTCTTGGGGGGGGCTCTTGTTTTTTTCGGAGAAGACACTATTTAAATAAACCAGTGGGTCAGGCCTGTAGTGTTCATGAAGATTGTTTAACAAACAGGTATTCTTTGACCATTGACTCTTTTAAGTGGTATTGAAGGGTGTAATTTCTCCTTGGGTTTACACTTGCCGTGTAAGATTTCTTTTTGTCTATCCTGTTTACCATGGCATACACATAGGCTCTTTTATCTTTCCAAGAGAGTGACCAGTAATGTCATTGCATTTGTACCAACCAGTTTACAACTGCAAAGGACGTTAAGTCCACACCCAGCTCGCTTTGTGCGTTGACAGTGGAGAGGCATTCCCAGTTCTTTCAACCTCTTCCTTTTGTTACCCTTCCAATCGTTTTCATGCCGTGTCCTTTTTGCAGAGATCAAAGATGACAAAACGGTTGTAGGATCAGCTGATGTGACGTTAGCCTGGTCATGTTAATCACTTTCCACTGCGCTGAGGGTCAGAGGTGACGCAGCAAGCGTGGCATCATTTGATGGAAAATTATCGCGTTATGTAAGTTAGGGTTTGATATAAGGATAAAGCATTATATTATGACACTGAGGAAATAATCTATACAAAACACAAACGAAATGAACTTTCAAAGAAAGTCGAAAGATGTTTCAATAGGTAATGACTGCAATAAACACTGCAAATGAAAAAAAAGAAGCACTTAAAAAACAATGAACGTTAGGGGCTGACGATGTGCTGGGCAGGTCCCACATTTTTTTTTGGGAGTAAGCTAGAAAAGAATGAAAAGCTATTGACTTCGTCCATTCAATTGCGAAGGAAAAAATGATTAGGAGAAGAGGCAGTAGTCCGAATAGGGGAAAATGCCTTCATAATTCGGTGACTTTCCAGTACAAAGACAAAGAAGAACACGAGGACAGGAAAAATAGTTTCATATAAAACGAAAACCTTGAAGATGCATTTGAAATACCAGCATTGTCATGAGATAAAACATTCTGTGGGAACAGAGGGGAGTTTTAGTCATTAATAACATTATCAGAAGCATTGAAACGAAGAAAAAAGAGGAAACAACCAGATCTGTTTAACTCCCCAATAAAACCAACAAGAAATATTACACAAATATTCCTTTTTGGAGAGCTCCCACGGTTACGTGAGCAAATTCTGTACTATTACAGGTCTGAATCTGATGTCAAACGAAGTCTGGAGACGAGTCGAAGCCGGGGTTAGTCGGTAACGTAGCACGTGGCCCCTCATTGTTAGTGCGACAAAAACAGCCAACTCTCATTCCCTCCCTCGCAGGTGGGATAGTCGAAATTATCGGGCTAAAATCTAATGGGTGCCGGGTTATACGGTTTTATTTCTAATGTTTTAAAGACATTTCTAGACAACGTTTTGATCTGTCTTTTGGTGAGCAGATGAAATGGACAATTTACTATCGATAGGGCCAATAAAAATATTTTTGATATTTTGTGGGTTAGTCGGTCTTATCACTAGGCCGACGATATGCTTGTCTGCTACAATAACTTTGCTTTAAAATTTAAAAGAAAAAAAAATGAGATCGTCAGATATATTTGAAGAAAAAAGAACACTTTTGAAAGTCCTTAGTTTGTCTTAGTTGAGCAGGTGATGGTTTCATAGTTACACAGCTGCCGAGTTTCAGGACCAGGTAATAATTAGGGGAAGTGTTTTAATTTCATAATAGATTATTGCAAATTGGATGGCATCTGTTTCTCTTACTCTGTATTCCTTCATAGTGTCTTTTTGATGTAAGACATTCACAGAAGCCATTGGTTGAACTTTTCAGTTGATCAAGTCACTGTTTATATCATGTCAAGCTTTATATCTAAAAATATTTTGAGGTCAAAGTTATGATTATGTCCTTCTCACAGTCCAGTTGATATCACTCTATGTTTGCAAAGGGAGAATTTAAATTGAGTCTGAGGTGTGCTCTTTGGTAAATATTCCTGACCAAGCTATAATGTCATTGGTTTGCCTCTTCTATGTTGTCCTCTTCTTTTAAACATAGAAAGTTTTGTTACAGTTCATAATCTCACTGCTACAATTCCAATTCCCCAGGTACGACAAGAAAAGTGCAGAGATCATGAAGACTTTGGAGGAGAAATGCAGTTCCCTCAAAGCTTTTGGCCAGAGAGTTTCCTTTGCTGCTAGCCGAATGGAATATTTGAAAGGTGATTTGTACTTTTAGTGTTATTGTTCAGCACACATAAGGGAACAACTAGACAAACTGGTACTTTTAAGCATGTTGTACACTTTTTTCACCTGTAAAAATTTGAAATTTGAAAACTTGGGATGTTGCAGGGCTAGAAGTCAAATATTACATAAAGGTAACACCTCTGTTGTCATCTATGGAAAAGACTGTTAAAAACAGTTCTCTTTTAACAATAGAAAATAGTCTGTTGACTGAATGGCTAATTTAAAAATGTATATAAGGTGGTTTTGTAAACTGTGAACCTTTTCTTCTGTTGTGTTTGATGAGTTTTAAAGGGAAATGTTGGAGGAAGAGTGGGGGAGGCAAAGGGATGTCAACTCTTTATTTTTATAGAATTTAAAAAATTAAATGATTAGCTATCTTTGTTATCTTGAGGTAAAATTGTTGTATTCCCATTTTATTGCAATGTTTATTTAAACTTGCTGTTGTTTTTTTTCACAGCTCAGTTCATAAGGAAAGCAGCTTTCACGAACACTTCTGGCACTCAGAACGATTCTAAGAAATCTTTGTCTGTGTCAAGGGCTGATGAGGACATGTCCAGGTAGCCTATGATGTTTTCATACTTATCTTGATAAGTTTCCCTTATTCTCCGTCGCTCTGAACCTTTTGTCTGTAGTCTGTTAGTGCCTGAGCTTTGGATGATGTTTGGCTATCATTTCTCTAACCTACATGCTTTCATGGAGCTGGAAAAAATATGAAGGTATTCATATGTCATGTTGAAGTCAGTTTTGTTTGCATTGTATGTTAATGTGTCGTGTTCTGGCTTTGTTTTCTTTAAACCCTGCTATGATATAGTGGTAGGGCTCTTCATATTTTCATAGAGGACTTTACTTAGAATCTCATATGGCGTAAGTATTTTAATGAGGATCTCGAGCTGTCTACTAGAATGCTGTGTCCCATTCAGCCTTGTTTGGCTTGGTCTGGCAGGGTCTAAAGAGCACAGCTTTTGAATGATCGTATTTATGTTGACTGAGTGTAAACGGTTAACAATTGTCTGTACAGTTTACTCAGATCGGCTTTATGTTGGTGGCCCTTGTTCAGAAGTTTTTTTTAGTTCTTCAAGTTTTACTTTGTCCTAATATGCATTTTGTATGGCAGTGTATGTCCTTTTAAATGTACTATATTTGCTTTGTTTACAGTTTAGGTTCTCCATTAGTTGAGTTGTTATGCTTGACTACAATAAAGGACATTCTGATTTCAATCCCTAATGGGACATTCTTGAGCTTGAGTTGCTTGAGAGGTCCCACCTTGCAGTACCATACCTTGTCTGACCTTTTCAAATGTAAATGTGCTCCAATAAGTTCCTGAAATTTTGTTTGATGGAGATGAAATGTTTCATTTCAATTATTAGTGGAGCCTTTGGAACTGTCTATTCTATTTTCTTTTTTCAATGTTTCTGTTTTCCTATTCTGCCAAAATCTGGCATTTATCTGCTTGCTCTCATTTAACATCAAGTTCAACAATGAAACGCTTTCAATAAGTTGTTTTTTTATGAGAAATTTGTTCTTTTATGTGTGATGTAGAGACAGTGAGGACCACTTGTACCAGGAGCTAGAGCGTGTGATGCGAGAGAGAGACTCGCTGGCCACTCAGGTGAAAGAGGACACCAGCAAGTGGTCACAGCGTCTCACACAGACACAGACACAATGTGAGTACTGGACTCTCTGTCTCCTCTCAGACTTGTGTTGAGAAAGGGAGCAATAACAATATACTTTGGATATGTCTGTAAACGCTCAGCTTTTATTGTTGGCAACATGCAATGTTTCCAGACTTAACGTTCAGTAGAAGGTGATAGGTGCCTTATGCTCCTCTCTTCTACTCTTTGTTAATGTCACTTTTGCTTTAATCTCCTTCTTTAGAAATTATGTCCTATATAAAGTGAATGTCACATACCAAAGACTTACACAAGTTGGATTTCTGCTCTCGTACTTTTTCAGTGTGGCTCTTTAAGCCCCTTCCCCCCCCCCTCCCCCGCCCACACACACACATACACCCATGTTTATATTTCTGTCTGTTTGACCCTTTGACCTTAAGATACGTTTGTTTTAGTTATCTCACCTCTACCCTAAGAGAAGACTTTGTCTTCAAGAAATGTTTGACTTGTCTGGCTGAATTCAATTTAGGTCCTTTTGAAGTTACGAGTACTTGCTGCCCCTCCATGGGACACCAGAAAGAACAGGGAACTAATCAAATGGAGGCTGCTATCTGCTAATTAACAACCAAATGCTTTGATTTCAGTGTCAATTTTCAATAGATTGAGCTAGAAAGGGATGTTAGTAATACTCTGTGCATTCTGTTTTGTACTTTGCTTGTGGTCATCTTTGGATTTGTATTGGCTCGTATTATGAGGGTTTTTCTGAGAATGTGTGGAATTTTAATCATAAACTGAATTTTATTAATCTCTTGAAACTGAAATTTTTTCAGAGAAGGACTAACAGAAGTGGAAAGTGCTTTTCCAGGTTTATATTTCATATCCAACTTTAAAAAAGAATCTTCAGCTGGCTCTTATTGTATTAATTTGTTTTAATTAGTTGTTATGTTTTATTCCTTTGTTTATGAAACTTTTTTTTTTCCTAGATCGCTCGGAAGTTAGCACTTTGAAGAGAACCGTGGAGGAATTAGAGTATGACATACAACAAAAGTCTAAGGTATGCTTCCTACTACAAAATACGTTTACTGGAATAGCACCTGATTTTCCATTCGACTTGAGTGATATAATTTATGTGCTTTCTATCTGTTATTACTGATTGACTTGTCTGTTACCTTTACTCAGAAAGAATTTTGTTGTCAGTATTTATCTCTGATATTAATCTACTAAAAGGATGAATTACTTTCATAACAGTTAATATTTTCTTTGACTTGAACATAGCAGTGTGTATCAAGGTGGCTGCTGATTACCAAAGGCAACAAAAAACAAAATCCTGCTTCTGTTGTCACATATTTAATTTAACAATTTAATCACTGGTCTCTGAAGTCAATAATGTTGGACACACGCACATTTTATCAAAGTAATATTCATGTTAAAAGTTGACAACATAATGGAATGGAATGGCTGAAGAAAAATCATGAAATATTTTTCAGACATGCAGTCAGCTCACAGATGAACTGGAAACAATAAGAGAAAGTATGAGGGAAAAAGATGACACTATAGCACAGCTGCAAGCTGAACTTGAAAGGCATGCTAAGGGTATTGAAACAGGTAAGGCTCTATATTAATTACATTTATTATGTTTTCTTTCTCCAATGTGTTTTCACTTTCTCAAGCTTAAAATGCTAATATTATCATTGTCATGATCATTATTATTATTATCATAATTCAGGTAGCCCTGTCCTTTGTGTTACTTTTTAGAAGGAATCACACACTCTTGAAACTTCAAAATTTGAACAATGGCGGCATTCAATATTTCTAAGAAGGGGACAAAGCCGGGTTTGCATCGCATTACATCTGCCAATGATCTGCTTCATCAATCTGCATCATTCTATTACATCTTGTTCTTTTACTAAAACAGCACCCTTGATGTGCATAAAATAAATGTCACCTCAAGGCTGAACCAAGTGGTTCTTGTTTGAACTTCGCAAGTGTAACGCTTACTCAGAGTTTAAGGGCACATGTGTTCAAACTCTTTGGGAGTGTTGGCAAATATCAAGGGTGTTAAGTGCATTGTAAATTTTTTTGTGGCGTTCTTTTCTGTACAATCTCTTTGCCCCTTAAAGAGAACAGGAAATAATATAAGACCTGGATGTTTATTGCACAGACTTGGGGGAAAAAAGTGTGATTAAGTTTAATATACCGGCTGTTGGCTTTGGTGAAAAATCTGTGTGATAACTTTTAATGTGTGTTTTAGTTGGTGGTTGGTGGGGCTTTAATGTGTGTTTTAGTTGGTGGTTGGTGGGTGCTATTTGTGTGGTGTACTCCGTCAGCTTCTATTTTTGTGTTACTGTTGCTCTAATTTGTTCTAAATGAAATGTGGCCTGTCTCAACATGAATTTCATTACTCCACTAGTAGATGGGACTTTTGTCCCCCTCTGTTGTCTTTGTTTGTATCTGTTTCTTTTTCCTTGCACTGAATGACCATTACAATGTCAATGTCCTCTTTACTCAGACTCTGACTGCCCTTTGCTGTCTTGCCAAAAATTACACCTCAGTGACTATTGACTATTTCTATGACTGTCACAGTATTGACGGATCAGCACCTGAGAGATGAGGCTGAGTACTCTAACAGACTGGCTGAGGTGGAGAAAAGACTGAATGAGTCGAAAAGAGAGCATGCTAAAGCAGGTGCTGTGTAACTCATTTTCTATACCCTAGAATTTGACATTGTAAAATCAACGGTCCATTGCAGAATGGTCTATTCTGGTATTACACATAACTGTTTGATGTCTAGTTATACAAAATAACTGGTAGGAAATAGCTTTGCCCTCAGAGGCTAAAGCAGGGGACTTCAATTCCTCCACATTTTCATAGTCATGAAAAATAAAGAAACGGAACAGTTTTCTCGATCTCTCTTAAAATAAGATTTTCCGGAGATGGCCACTTTATAGCTAACACTGCATATCCAGTTGAGCGCTTTTTATTAACACATTTTGTTTATTGTAAAAATTGTACAAAGTATTTCTTTTTAAGTTTTAGCAATTTTTTCTTTTACAGATGAATCAGATAGATTGAGAGTACTCTTAATCGTATGCTGTCCTCATTTAATTCTGTTTAGTGGTCCTTTTGAGTCCGTCTGATTCTGTTTCTCAAACTTCCCCAATCTTTCATCCTCTTTCCAGGTTTTTGTCCTCTTCCTTCTCCTGTTCCAGCTTCCCCCGAACATATATTCTCGTACCTGCCTATCCTTTGAACCCTCATGCACATTGAAGAGCAATAAACTGTCAACAGAAAGATAGAAATGCTTCCAAATAAGGTACAAAATGCTCAAGAAAGATGAAGTGTTTCAAATAATGTAAGGATGCAGAAATGTCAATTTAGAAAATGTTCATCTTCTGATAGGTTTCCTAAAAGCCTCTCACATTTGCCTAAATGCTGTTTCTATCCTGATCGTTATAAAGTATTACTTAAAGCAAAATGATTGCAAGGACAACAGATCATTCAATTCACCCCAATCTTCAGTGGTCAGCCTAAGGCAGCTTGAGCGCAACCATGCCCGAGAACAGCAGCGGAGTCAAGAGCTGCTGCGCACAACAGAGGAACACTTAGGTCGCCAGATACAGCAGCTGCACACACAGCTTGTCAGTGTGGAAAAGGAGAGAAATGTTGTCATGGTGAGCAGTTCAGAAGTGGACTTTGAACTTACATACACATGTATAATATATATAAGGTCATAAGATTCTGTTACAGTATTCAGCCCTTATTTGTACTGAGATTATGTTTCTCATGGTATTATTTAGTTAAGGGAAAAACTTTCATCCGAGGCTCCTTCGATTTTCTGTGAAGAAACTGGTACATGCATTATACAGAAAATCGCGGTATGAGATTTTTTTGCTGGATGAATTGGATCATCATGCTGTTTAGGGATAACAAGGGGAGCTTTCTTGACCCTTGTTATATGTGTCTTTTCATTGTTAGTATTGATATAATCTATTTGTGGAGAAATTTAGCTGTTATCATACTCTCTCAATGTTAATTACGGCCCAACAAGAGGTATGTTAGTGCTGCTTTTAGCAGTCTCTTTCTGAATGTAAATCTGAAATCTATAAATCCCATCGGGTCCGTTCGTCTTGCAGGCAACATTGAGGCAAGAGGGTCTTATCAGCAAGCTGAAGACTGACCGAGGAGAGCCAGCAAGACTGACCCTTGAGGAGGTGGACACAGCCCTTCGGGGCATAGTGGAAGGGACAACACCCACTGGTAGGATGAGATGCTTTGAATCACTTTTTTTGTTTGATATTTGGATAAAGACTGCCGAGACGAGGGAAATGATAGAAAAATAAAGCAAGACGTTATGCTTTATGAAAAAAGGAAGATGGCTCTTGATGCTCTGTAAAAAAGCGTAGTATAATGCACCTCCATGAACAGCTCATAATTTGATGAGAGAAAGAAAATAAAATTGCTTCTCTTCTGGTTTTATTAGCGAGATTGTTTTCGCAATGTGGTAATCACCTAGCAATGAATGAAAAGTCGTTTTGACAGTTTTTTTTCCTTTATAGATGATGAGGGCTATTATTTCTTGCTAAAAGACAAGTAACCACCCATGTAAAAGCCATTGTTCCAACATTGTTTAACAACTTACATTAAGTTTTGGGCCCTAATCACTTGACTACTAGGAACCCAGTGAGATGGTAGAAGGATGGGAATAAAGTAGACTTTCTGTCCTGACCATGTCACATTTTACTTGTAATTTTGGGGGCTTAAAATTTTTTAAAATATTTGTTAGCGACATGCATTCATTGTGCATTATGATCACGCATTCATTCCTATTAGCTGTAAAAGAGGCATTATCTGCAACACAGCTTAATGTTTAAATTCATAAGGCTTTGTGATGTCAACTTTGAATTTTGGCTGGAAATAAGCAGAGCAAAAAGAGCTGACAAAAATATGTGTGCAAGAGACTCAGAGAGAGTGTGTGAGTACACATGTTTCTTTAATAGTTAAAGTAAAAAGAGGATGAATAGGTGCATGATTTTGTTTCTGTGTGTCTTTATGTGTGTTATGTGTGTGTTCGTCCATGTGTTTACTGTGGGCAGAATAGGTTTAAAGTAACCAGGACAAAAAGCACATAATTACTACAATGGTAACATTGGCAAACTTTAGAAAACTAAATAAAAAATTTAAGCAGCCTGAAAAGAGAAACAAAAAATGTTGTTCCTTAAAGTGTTGATATCATTTTATTTTTTGCTCCATTCACAGGCGAAGTGCACTTTGATTTTCTACACAAGGACCAGAATGAAGAGGACAATGAAGCTGATGAAAGTCGGGAGACACTGACTAAAGACAGTGGTCAGATGGAAGAAGAGGACTTAATGCCTTCTCAGCAGTCACATGGTAGCACTCCAGTTTTAGTATTTAGTGTTTATGGATTTATTTGCGCAGTAGAATGTATGTATGTGTTGGAGTGTGTACATGTATATGTTTGCATGTGTGTGTGAGTGTGTGTGCGTGTGTGTGTGTGTCTGTGTGTATGTGTGTGTGTTTGTGTGTGCGTGATGTGTTGGTAGTGTGTGTGCGTGTGGTCTCGTGGTATTAAGTTCTATGTTGTGCTTGAGCACACTCCTATGCGTTGAATGCATGTGTTTTCGTAGCCATTTAGATGTCTATCTATGTCTGTGTAAGTATGTATGTATGTGTCAGGTTTTAGAACAAGAGCTGGAGAGAAGGATTTATTTTTTGGATACTTTTCTTATAGTGTGAAGGGTTTGCCTGTATAAATAATGTATACATATGCATAAACATGTTCTATAATGTCATTTAAAAAATTATTATGGTATCTATGTTTTCATGGTCTTGGCCTGTTTATTGAAGAACTTTCATCCCAGGCTTGGCCATTTAGGTTTTGATTTTCTGTGAAGAAACTAGAGCATGTATTACTCAGAAAATCCTGGTCTGAGTGCATATATCTAACAGCTTTTTTTCAAGGAAATTGTGCATGAGCTTATTCTATTACTTGATTACTAAGGCAAATCATTGTTGGTATTCTCTTATTTTCTTTTCTGGTGTCTGTGGAGTAATGTTTAGGCTCTTTATTATTGAACATAGAAGACATGGGTTCAGATATTGGTTGGGGGGTTTTTGTATCGTGTAATTTTTTTTGCCTGCTGGGTTGTTATTTTTATCCCTCTTGGCTTCGGTCGGCCCCAACAGGAACAGTTGATAAGGGTCTACGTCACTTACAATTACTTACAGTCTCTCATTTTCTTTGCCAGTAATAATTATGTACTGATATTTTGTATTTGTCCTTTTCAGAGCCCGTGGAGAGGGTTTTAGAGGATTTGAAGTCCCTAACAGCTGCCATATTTGATGATGATGAAGAGGAGGAGGAGGGAAGGAAAGAACATGCTTACAAAGGTCATGGAAGTCAAAAGCAACAACTTGTAAAAGACGGGAGTCAGGAGGATGATGAGGATTTAAGTGAAAATAAGTGATATCGTGATATGACTTGTGCAGTATGAGTGCATGGCTGTGCATGTATGACATGTTAACATGTTTGAGTGTGTGTGTGTGGGTGTGTGTGTGTGTGCATGTGTGTGTGTGTGTGTGTGTG